CTTAACTAAAAAAAGAATGAGCACCTTTTGTGAAAACTTTGAGAATCAAATCAGCAGCACCGCTGATAAATACTGGATGAAAATACAAATAAGAAAAACAAAAGCTCTGGGGTTGATCAATCCCAGAAAAATGTACCATTTATTCAACTGCATTAAGCATCGTTAAAAATGTTTGAATGAATATCTGACGCACACAACAATTTTCGGTGTCCCACCGATGTATCCAGCCAGCGTCGCTGACCTCCCAGACAGTCTGATACCTGCCCCGAAGAGATGGAAGGCTTGGTGAGCCTGTGCGCCCGCGTTATAGGAACCATATATGTTGCACAACGCCTCTAACCACTGCGCTACACACGCCAAGAGTACAAATAATAGTAATAAAAATTTTCACCATTACGGATTTTCACTCCATTCTTGTTCATTTTCAGCAGAATGCTTAGTAAAGTTTTCAATGCTGGTGATGTATAAGCCACTTATCTTAGACATTCACATTTGGATAACAGAGAAACTATAAATTTAAGTGCATTTCAGCGCTTGCGAACTCCAGTGCTTCGCAATTCTTTTCATAATGAACAAAGTCGAAAATGTTGCTCTTCATGGTAGACGCGCTAGACAAATTTAAGAGAAAATAATACGGCAACAAATGCAGCATGACGCTTGCGATTATTTTACTTTTTTCTCACAGAAAGCTTTCTAGTGAGATAAAAGGATAAAATAAAAGGTTAAAGCTCTAGGCGTTGATCAATCCCTGAGGGATGTGCCATGCACTTGACTTCATTAAGTATTGTTTGGAGGTGATTGAATGCATATCTAGCCTTTACAATGACTCGTGGTGGACTACCGATGTATCGAGCCAGTGCTCCTATCCTCGCAGACAAGTGTGGTGCCAATTTGTCGACCCCGGAGGGATGGAAGGCTTGGTGGGCCGTGGGCGTTTGGACCGATTCTAGTTGAGTGTTGCAGTGCGGCTCCGCCCACTGCGCCACACGCGCTTTTCCTAGTGAGGAAGTAGAAAATAAATACGGCATTGATGGCGAAATAAAGAGCTAATCAAAGTAAAAAAAAAAGACGCGAAAGGATTTGAATAAGTTGAAACGTTTTCACTTAAAGTCGTTAAGCCAAACTTTCTCTTGTAAGTGACTTTCTCCCAGCAATTGTCGAATAGTAATTTAGGTAAATTTTTAGCGTACTCGAGCAAAAGTGAACACAGTGAACTCCTTGTTCATTTTTTTCTTTTCCGTACAAAGGCATTTTTTTTAGCTTGCAAGTGGAAATTTTCAGTAAAGTAATCGTAACTCATTCTCAAGACACAAAGCTGAAATTTGATGGCCAATGCGCATTTTTTCCTTTGATATGCGCTATTCATAGATTTGGCGGGAATTCAGGTAGTGTGTTGAAGAAGAATTTCCTTGTACGCAACGAGCTTGCATAAATTCGGAGTGCCTTATTGTTGTTTCAACCTTTTTATTTACTGCCTATTTTTTTTAATGGCAGGATACTTCGGACCGCAGGTGTCTGCGGTGGTGAACGAACGCGATATTGTCCTTTCCGGTGAGTAACGCGTTCACCACCACATCATTCGGGTCCTTCGTTTCGCCTGTCTCTCAGCTAGTTCTGTGATATAACTATAACCTTAGCTTAACTGGGTTCAATGCCGATTTGGGCTCCCCAGATCAATTCTGTTAACGGGTGATTGCTGATGGCAAGTGATCGATAGAACTAGCTGGGAGACAGATGTCTTATCATTGTTTTTTAAAAAATTCGACCGAAATAAGTAGGATTCACTTTATGCATAAAAAGAGATAGGTGTCATTGCTCATTATGAAATGAAGTCGCCATTAGCACTAATGTCTTATGACGATTTTTCTAACAAATCAAAATGTTCTCCACGAAGACGAAGAAGACTTGTTTCACAGGAGAGCATAATTACATATTGTTTTTAATACAGTTGCTTTATCACATTATTATTTATGATTCGGCAGGTGTAAAACGTTACTTAAAAAGGGCCGGTCCTCGAAATTCGATAACAGGAAATTCGGTGATTGAAGCACCATAAGACACTGTCAGACGCCAGCTAGTTCGTAACCGCATATTTGACCGTCTATGCACAACAAAAATTGCACTGTGTGTCCAAGTGGTAGTGAAGGTGATTGCATGAGTTCGCTAACGGTGGACCCAATCTTTTGTAAAGCGCGTGGGGACCAATATGTTGGCGAAACGGAAAGACCACTCTGCATCCATACAAAAAAACATTTAGTCGGTAAATTTAAATTGAAAGCAAACGGTCCACTGGAAGCGGGTCAAGCACAGAACTATGACAGAGAAAATTTTGAAGTAAAAGTCACTTATCCTCGCATAGGAATCCAAAACTTCAACGTGGAAAACTCTCGGGACATTCTGGATATAATTTAAGAGTCTAAAAATGAATCTCAGGAAAATTCCTCATCAACAAAAATGATCTCACATAATACTTAAGACCGATATTTTATTGTGAGGGAGAACATTACTCATCAATGCGAACTCGATGCGGTTGGTTTCCACGTGAAATACTCACTGGAAAACACATAGAAAGTAGGGAGTTTGCGTCCTATGACTCTGATTCGTTTTCAGTGTGGTTAACATCGTAGTTTCATGAATGTTCTACTTTGTTTGTGGAGGTGTTTTCCTAAGTGGGCTTCAATCAACTCGATCTATCCGGGCTCTGACTAGAGTGAAATCCGCCGAAACGTCAATTTTTGTGAATAAAGAGTGCGGAAACAACCTTCTCTGTGGTTGTGCAAAAAAGTGAATAATTACAGAATTTAGGTACCCTTATGGTTTTCTAAGGGCTAATAAGAGGTCTGGAAAAATATTTTTGGAAAGCAAGATTTTTAATATGCATTAATACTGATTTCTTTAACCTTTAAGGGTTCTGGAAACACTGGCACTGTTTTTAAGTCTTCGATTACAAAACCATTTTAGTTTTCGATGAGACGTTTGGTACAAAATAAACTACAAAGGACATCATGTTTACCATATGAAGAAAGATGTGGACATCAGACTTTGGGTCACCTAATAAGAAGAACGCTCACCTGCGGTGGCATACGGTAGAAGAATAAGTAGCAGTTTTGCTGAGTGCATTATTGTCATCCGGGCGACCGTGTGGCTGAATGAGAGCGAAAGGGGACGGAGCGGTCTGGGTGGGTAGCGGTGGGATCAGGTCAGGATCGGTGATTGCTGAGTGATCGTGAGATTCGCTGATAAGCGATGGAAGTGTGGCCGATGACGAACGCAATTCAAACACATCCGTTAAGAAAATCCGCAATTGACAAGAGGTTCGCCCGGCGACACTGAACTGCCGACCGTATGTACTTCTTGATAGTAGTGATTCGGCTCCACTTTATGTTTTGTTTCTGCGAACTTCAGTAAAAAATAAAGCAGTTCATTCCATTGTGAAAATCGGTTGAGGTTGTTGATGTTCGACTCCATTCGTAGTTTCGAGAAAAGAGTTGAATCGATATTCCTACTTAAAAATGGCTTGCTATATCCTACCGATTTATCAATTCTGTAATTCCTAAGACCGACTTTCTGTTGACCTCTGCAAGCATTGATAAAGTAATTCACTATAATGATACTGAGATATTTCCAGTACTCCGGACTGCAGGTGTCTGCGGTGGGGACCGAACACGTTATTACCCTTTCCGGGAACTAGCGCGTTCACCACCACACCATGCGGGTCCTTCGTTTCGCGTGTCTCTCAGCTAGTTCTATTGATCATTTGTCATCAGCAATGACCCGTCTTAGTATACTCTGCCATTAAAAAGAGTAGGAAGTAAATAATAAGCTAAATTGTAATTCACTATATTATTGATGAGTTCACAAGGAGTTGTTACTTTATTCTTTGTTTGCGAAGATGCTGACATTTCAGCTAATTTTGCCTTTTTTGGAGTCTGGAAAGGTCAAGTTGACAGCAATCTAACCACCTAAACACTTCCGTAACCAAGACAGAAAAAACACGGAGCCAAGTCTTCAATAACATTGAAAACAGAATGGCTTTGTGGCATATTCTCCGCTTTCTATGAGTCTTCCACTGAGCATGTCACATGGAGACCAACCGCACAGTGTGCACATGGATGGTTCATGTCTCTCTCTCATATTAGAATATCAGTCTTAAATACTTTGCGAGATCATGTGTGATAACGAGGCATTACTCCCTGCGGAAGCACGGGGCATTTTGAATATATTCCAGAGATCCAAAAATGAAGAGCAGAGCAATGCTCCGTTATGGCACGTGACCCAACACGTTATTTAAAAATGACATTTTAATGTGAGAGAGGCACATACACTTCCATGTGAACTTTGTGCGGTTGCTCTCCACGCGACATAACCTGTGGAACACAATACAGAAAGCGGTGAATGTGCGACAAAGCTACTTTGTTTTCAGTGAGACTGAAGTCTTGGTTTCGTGTTTTTATCTTTTTTGGTTATGTAGGTGTTTGAGGGTAGATTGCAGTCACGTTGAGCTTTCCAGACTTAGAAGGAGGCGAAATCTGTCGAAACGTCGTCTTGTTCGTAAACAAAGAATGAACTAACAACCTCGCATTTGCTTTTCGGTGAATGTCAATGCAGATTTTTTCCCTTTTAGAGAACTCTAGCATAAACTCGCCGAAATGGCGAACTTGATTCTATCGCGGCCCGTCATCGAGCCAACGACCACGCCTGTATTTAAAGGTGCTTCTAACCGCTGTTCTACACACACAGGCATTCTGGTGTGTTTAATAAAGAAAATTATGCATAAATTGGCCTGTTTTGCTAAAAATCTCGGTTTGGACCTTTTTCTGTCAGATTTCCTTTTGTTCCCTTTTCGAGTAACGATGCTAATTTCACTGGATATATTTTTTGCTCTTATGAATAGCAGAAAAATGTCGATGCAAACCGACTGACGTGAAACAAGAGGAATGAGACAAAGACTCCGCTATGTGACGTTCGAATAACTCAAATCGTTGGCGATCTCGTTCGACTCAACAATGAGCTCGTTTGAGAGCGGAACAAACATCCGGACATGGTCGGGACAAAGATTGCCGATTCCTATGCATGACGAAGAAGGATGATGCCTTCACACAACGTGTGGTCTCATACTCAAGCTGGGAAATCGAACCATCCCCACGACGGTGAGCTGCACGTGTGGGCGAACGGCGGCCGCTCAGGATTGCCCAGAACTGGAATGTGGATTTTCGCACGGATGTTTCAATCGCTTTCTTTCTCGTCATGTCAACGATTTCCGTGTCATCCATTTTAAATTAACGCAACCTGCGCTAAAAAGCAAACAGCTGGAAATTTCCGAACCTCCTTCAAAAGGGGTTAGAATTCATTGAAGTTTTTATGCAAAAATGTCTTAGTGATAGCTTTAGCTGGCTGGCTCAATATATTCTATTTCTAGTAGTTTTGCAGTAAAGTAGAAAACAAATTCATCATTGGTTACCGAGTCTTTAAAGTTTCTTCATTCATAAAGTCTTATTCACCTCTCGAAAGAATAATATTTAAGTAGAGGGTCAGGAGATCAACCATCACGGCAGTTTCAAGCCCGCTCCATTGAGTTGCTTTGTTCTTGATTGAACTGGTGTCTCGAGATTAAATATGGCTGATTTGATGAGTAGGATAGGGTCAGCAGAGGAACCGCTACAGTAAGATTGCAAAGAAGAAAAATCAAACTTCTGAAAAAAAGCTTATGTAATTCAAATGAACGACAGTCACAATGTATGAGATATTGAAGGTGGTATTGGCGCTGTTGTCTCTGCTCACAAATATGCAACACATGAAGCAAAGCCACATTTCTACCAGTAACTTTTATCTGTTGCTCCACCCAGTGGTTATTATCCGTTGTTATCGTATAATTCCTATCGGATCCTCAACCAAGTTTTTTCTAATATAGTGGAAAAGAATATTTTCATCAGTAAAAGAAAGTTGAAAATCGTTTTCTTTTAAAGCGTGAAAAGATAGCGCATTCGGCGGCGTTGATCAATTTCTAAGGGGTGGGAAATAAATTCGACTTCACCAAGCACCGTAGAGGACTTGCAGTGGCATACAAGTGCATTGAGTCACTCATTTCATCTTCACAAACAAGTTTCGTGCTATTTTTCTGATCCCGGAGGAATAGAAGGCTCTATAAGCTCAGGGAGTGAGATCGAACCTGCGACCGATTCATTGTGCGTTGCAGAACGGCTCTGACCATTGCGCTACATGCGTCTTCTTCTGTCTCTAAAACGCTTAAAATTATGAGATGAAATGCTAAAAAAAATAAAAGCGTTTGTCAAAAATGTGCTGACTGTCATGATGTTGCTATTTAATTAGCTTCATACAGAGATTCTTGGCATTTTAGAAGAATATAACAAGATTAAAAGAGCCGGATCAATATTGCTATTTCTTTAATGCTTGTTTTTCCAAACTATAAATGCAATTTTTCTATTGGAACGCATTGGAAGAAATCCGTGCTCGAACTGTCATAATCTAGCTTTACGGTTAATTTTCCACACGTGTGCTCTTCGAATTTTACTACCTTTTCTAATATTGGCGTCTATTATTCCCTTTTTGGTTATGCTCCATCACAGAACCTTTTGAATTCTTTCTTGCATTTTTTCACTATGGGCTTTTTTTCTTCAATATCTCTTTTTGTTTTTGCACTTTCTTCTCATCACCATCTTCGCTTTCTTCGTTCTGGTTTCATCGTTGTTCACTTGGAACTCATAGCTATTTTTCACTCGTTCCTTCCTTCCAATCCTCCGATACTAATCCTTAGTTTTTCTTACATTTTGTTGATTCTTTGTCGGGTTCGCATCCGATAACCGCTTTTCCTGCTATTGTGCCAATTTTGTTTCGTTATGATTTTCTATGTATTACACGTATTTCATTACTGCGTATTTTTCCCTAACGGTTCATTTCTGTGCGATTTTTCCCTTCCATCCATGTTTTCCTTCATGGGTTCCACGTTCATTTATTTCATTCCCACGGGTTGTGTTGTAATCACTGTTATTATCGTTGATCTTATTCGTATATATTACTGAGATATTTGCAAAACTCCGGACCGCAGGTGTATGCGGTGGGGAACGAACGCGCGCTATTTTCCTTACCGGGGAGTAGCGCACTTCACCACCACACCATCCGGTCCTTCGTTTTGCCTGTCTCTCAGCTAGTTCTATCGATCTTTTACCATAAGCAATCACTCGTCAGTGGGATTGATCTGGAGAGTCCAAATCGGCAGAACTAACTGAGAGACAAGGAAAACGAAGGACCCGGATGGTGTGGTGGTGAAGTGCGCTACTCCCCGGTGAGGACAATAGCGCGCATTCGTTCCCTACAGCATACACCTGCGGTCCGGAGTTTTGCAAATATCTCAGCATTATATACGAGTTATATTTCGCAACATACCCCGCCATTAAAAAGAAAAAGGCAGTAAATAAAAGGGCTAAGGTTGATGTTATTGTTATGCTTGTAGAAGTAGTTGAACCAAAGCTCATGATAACGTGGTCAAAAATGGGAAGAAGCTTAAACAAGATGTTAGTGGTAAATATTTTCAAGTTAATTGTAGGTGGTGGTACGATTGTGCTTGGCATCCTTGAAGTTTTTGCCCTTGAAATGGCCGTCAATGATACTCATCGACGCGATGATAACACCAGGTACGATAGTACGACGATAAATCGATGAAGAAAAAATCTCTGGTTTGTGTCTTTGTTTATGAAAGGAAAGAAACTCACTAGAATAAGAAAGGAAACAATACTAAATAATCCGTGTCTAGTGTTTTTTTGACATCTTTCGATTATTCACTTTTTAAGAACACTTGTATTCAGCGAATAAGGTGAAGTTTATGAATTTATTTGTGTAAACAGCTTCATATTTACTCCTTATATCTTGTTGCTTCTCTGTTGATAGCATGCTTGAGAGGAGTGCGATGGAATGAAGGATGCAGACTAGTGGCTTGAATTTACTTCTTGGGTAACTCGTCGAGAGCATCAGAAAGTAGTGGATGAGGTGTTGTCTAATGAAAGCGATCCTAAGCCGTCAGTCATGATCTCACTTACAACATCCTCATTCATCGATCGCGTAAAGATGTAGGTTTGAACCTAGACAAGCACATCTATTTACCAAAGGTGTAAGTAGTACACACGACTCAGCATGTGGAGCAGTCTTATCCACTGAAATCACTTATGAAAGGTCGATTGGTAACTTTTTTGCTTCTGTACCCTTTCTCTCTAATTTCCATCTGAAATACGCTCCGATTAACTTCGCAACATCAAACAGGTTTAAGACCTTCCACTTAGTGGATATTTATGAAGAGAAGACTTTGAAATATCGTGGTCAATAAATGCCGGATGCGTGAAAAAACTCCTAGTGTGAGAAAATATTTCTATTTCTTAAAACCATTTTATGCAGAAAATATTTCTCACACTTTTATGATAAATTATTAATATTTGTGAGAATGATGAGTGTCTAAAACTGAAGAGCAGGCTATATTACTTAGACTGAGCAATTCTAACTTATATCGTTGACACATTTTTGAAATCAATGTGTTGTGAAAATGATAGCTCACAAAAATAAAAAGGACAAGTGATTGAATGTATCGAACCAGTGCTGCCTTCTTCCCAGACAAATCTGGCACCAATTTGCCTACTGCAGAGGGATGGAAGTCTTGGTGGCCCACGGACGCAGGGTTCGATTCCACGTGTGTGTTGCAGGACGCCTCCGACCACTGCACCACACGCGTCCAACACACCAAAACAATTCCGTTCTAATAGCAGTTTTACGGCCTGTTCATCGATGCTATCTTGTTTTCTTCATCTTTCTTTTTGGAAGGAAAATTGAACCATAGGATTTATTTTCCCTAGATCATCTATTCGCTATTTTAGAAAGGCCAGTAGTGAGCCTTACTGCAATAAATGCTGTGCCAGATTATATTTTTAATATGCATTCAAAGCCTTTTTTTGCATTCCAAGCCTGCCTTTTTCAGAGTTAGTCTTCTTAGCACAGCACTTGTAGTATCTGGGTAAGGAGAAAGGAATGATGGAAGGAATCCTTGGTTTAACTTGCCCACGGCAATTAACCGTTTGAAATAACTAGTCCATAAAAGGATAAAACGATAAAGCTCTCAGAGTTGATCAACCCCTCAGGGATGAGCCATGTATTCGACTTCAGTAAATATCGTTGGAGGTGACTGAATGCATATCTGGCCTTTACAATGACTCGCGGTGGCTTATCGATGTATCGAGCCAGTGCTGCTACCCTTCCAGATAGTGCCAATTTTCCGACCCCGGATAGATGGAAGCCTTAGTGGGGCATTGGCGCGAGGATCGATTACCCGTGTGTGTTACGGGGCGCCTTCGACCACTGCGCCACACGCGCCCTATCCATCTCATAATAAGCGAAAAGGGAACGCCACAAGCGATAAAGTCGGTCGTTGGACTCACCTTTTTGTTGCTCTTAAGGACTCCAGTAACTATTGGAAACCGGCCGCACAGTTTTCCATGGGTGAGAAATGTGCATGGCCCAGATCAAAAAATCGATCTGAGAAATTGGGTGAGATCGCACGTGATCACAAGGCCTTTCAATTTGGCAGTTAATTTCTGGATTTTTAAATTTATCCAAAACGTCTCAATATTTTTACGCGCTAAAGCTTTCCACCCTGTGCGATGATGGGAGCTTGTAAATCAAAATGTTCCCCGTTATGTCTTTGTGTCCTATGATGTCCTAGTGGAGCATTTTACGTAACTCTACGCTTGCCATCTACAATCTATTTTATGAGGACGCAGAATGGTTTAACCGTTTCGCCAACGTATTCGTCCCCACATGGCTTACGAGAGGCCAGATAAACCATGCCCGAACTCATGCAATCACAGCCTCTACTGTTAGGGATATTATGCAATTTTCCCTTGTGCATAGACCGTCAGCCAGGGCGTTACGAACAAGCTGGCATCTCAGAGTGTTCGGTGTTATTTCAATCACTGTTGCGGAATACTCTATACCGGCCCTCTTCCAAAAACGTTTTATGACTGTACTCATTTTGTTTTAAATAAACGGCGGCATGAACGGAACCCTATTTTCACTAGACTTGTCGTTTTGGGCTATGCCTTTTCCTCTACACCTATCCCGAGCAGCTAATGCTTCGCCGGCTATTTTTTTAAGTGGCAATTTTTCGTGCCAATTCCAGTGATACCTCCCTCTGCTCTCTTCCTCAGCGCACACTGTCGCCTGTGCGAAACATATTTCTGACAATTGCCTTTTTACTGTCTGCACTATGAGAAGA